GGCGGTGGGCTGGGGCGGGTCGCAATCAGCAATTATGCGGAAGGGCGTCAATCATTGGAGTTCCGGTGACACGGCAGATTGTACGCCTTCATGTTAATTAAATAATTAATATAATACATTTGATTCAATATTACTAAATTACTGATATAATTTTACTTTTTTTAAAAAAGTATTTTAAACTTCTATATATATTTATTTTAAAAGTTAAATAATATTATATTATTATGTCAAATGTTAAAATATCCATAAATTTAACTGATAACTATGTCATCAAATTTAAATGTAATATTAATAAATTAATGTTTAAATGTGTCAACCAAATTGAATAAATGAGAATATGACACATGGGCTCATTTGGGACAATATTTTTTTGTGAAAACTTAAAAGGGTAAAAAAGGGGCTGATGTAGTTAAATTTATTCTACCAAAGCATGTCATAAGTTACAAATGATTCAATTTAAAATAATTGAAGAATGCATTCGCATAATATAGCAAATATAAATTGTGAAAAAGAAGATTATGTTTGGGGCGGCGTTTTATGCCTGTCGCAACTTATTTCTCATAAAACGTAGGTTGCGGGTTTGGTTTTGCGGCCCACATTTCTCACATTATTTTTTACATTGACGCCCTACTTTCTTTGGCGATTCGTCCGCCCTGACCCTCGGCCCGAACTCGTCTGCGATCTCACTTTAAGTTGTGATCTATTGCTTCCTCTTCTCGTTCTCCCATCAACTACCCTTACATGGTTCCTCTCCTCTCTTCTGTTCGCCAACGCTATGCAATTCATTTGTTTTTTTTTTTTTTTTGAAAAGAAAATTTATCATTCGTGATATAAAAGATTTGGGTGAGTTCTTTGTAGGCGAGCATCAATGTGAATGTTATTTATTTGGATGTTTTGGTCTTAGACATGTAAATACTTAGAAAATCAGATGTATGGATGTGAATGCTTATTATTTATCATATTGTTCATCTGAGATTCGTTAAAGAGAGGCAAGATAGTGTTCAGGCTAATATAAGTTCATGTCATAGCGCAGCACAGTGGCACCAAAATAAAGAAAATCTCCATGTAAGTTATCCATAAAATTGTGAAAGTATTTTGTTCTATGTGTCTGTATATGAAGGTTTAGGTGTGAGATATGTAGAATACATAAGAGTTTTATGATATGCATGTATATGCCTCAATTTTGTTTTGTTGTAGCTTTGGTGGTGTGCTGCCTTTGTTTAGGGTGGTGATTTGTTGTGATATATGTGTTTGTCGTGGAGTATGTTGTGTCCCACAGTTTCTTAGTGGCTTGATGTTTGGGTAGGTAATTTATTTGTGAGGTGTTCGTCTGGATTTTTTTATTGCTATAGAGTAAATTTTTATTTATGAAGTATCAAATATATGGTTATGACAACTATGTGACAAACAACATTACTACACAGGGGTTGAATGGTATTGTCCATAAATAGTTGCCGCACAGCTCCACCTACAACTGCACTCCCCAACAGTTTATAGATAATATCATCATGTTTCATAGCTCGCAATGCCTTTAAAATTTTTTGTTGTGCTAACAAATCTTTCACCATTGTTTGCCACAATTTGAAGTTTTCTGTTTCATTGAACTTCATTATCTCGAATTTTGCATTAGACATTGTCATTTGAAATTAATCAACAATAAACTTTTCCTGTCTTGTATCGAAACAAAACACACCACAAATAAATTCAAATAAATCAGAAATTTCGTCTGTCAATTGCATCAATTTTCCCGCAGTTTCTTGTGATTCGTGAATCAAAATTTTCACACGAAGCACCTTTCATGTTCGCACAAAAATTCGACTGAAATACTACAGACACCAGCCAAACTCCACCTGTCACAATTTCTACTGCGACAAAATTGCGAACTCCGCTAGTCGAACACCACCTGTCGCAACTGCATCTGCCACAACTCTACCTGCGACAAACTTGCAAACTCCGCTGGTCGAGCACTACCTGTCACAACTACATCTGCAGCAACTCCTGCGACAAACTTGTGAACATCACTAGTCGAACACTACCTGTCGCAACTGCACCTGCTGCAACTTCTGCGACAAACTTGCGAACACCCCTAGTCGAGCACCACTTGTAGCAATTGCACCTGCCGCAACTCCTCCTGCGACAAACTTGCAAACTCTGCTGCTCGAGCAACACCTGTCGCAACTCCTCATGCGACAAAATTGTGAACTCTACTGGTTGAGCACCACCTATCGCAACTGCACCTGCCGCAATTCCTTTTGTGACAAACTTGCGAACTCTGTTGGTCGAACACCACTTGTCGCAACTGCATCTGCCTCAACTCTACCTGCGACAAATTTGCTAACTCCTCTATTCACAAACACTTCTGTTCGCGATGACTGCACGCGAACTCCTGCTCACGAACTCCACTTCGCCGAATGCCGTAAAGGTTCGTGAAACTAGCGAACCTCGTCGTCGCCGCAACAAAGGAATATTCAATTCGAGCCAAAAGAACCAAAGAAAGAAAACCTTCATGTCTCCAACCACTTGAAAAAATATATATTTTACTTTCCTTAATTATCTTCCCTCTAGCCAAGGGAAAATCCGGAGGGAATATTCCTCCCAGCAGAAATTGAAAATATTTTGGTAGAAATCAAAGATTCCTTCATCCCTTCCTTTTGGTCAACCCAAAACTGCCCTAACAGCCTCGCCAACGATCCGAACTGCGATCCTTTTGCACCTGATATTCTTCCCGCCCGAAACTACCGTGAAACTGCTGTTACGGTTCGCGAAACCGAACCTCGCCCGACCTCTATCGTGATTCTTTCCGAACCGAACGCCGTGCGACCCTGCTGTGACTGGTTGATTCATGTTTGTGAAACCTCTAGAACCGCCAAAATCCTCCCGCGCTCCTCTACTGCGGATCTTCCTGTTATGTCGCGAAGCCTTCTCGGTCGCAAACTGGGAAGCCATCCGATCGCGAACTTCCTATGCGTCGCGCCTCTGTCGCGATCCAAATCTGCGCAAACACTTAGCGATTTCCTCGAGATATCGAACTTCACAATTTCCTCGAGATTTCGCCCGATCGCCTCTGCCAACCGCGGAAGAAGCCATGCCTGTCTCGGTTCCACTCAACTATGTCTGTTGCCGATCGTCTTTGCTGCCTGGTCCAATGGCTAACCGGGAAATCTTCCCGCATGAGACTCGCACGAATCGCGAACTGCTCTGCAATTTGTCGAGTGAATCAACCCTGTCCTTTGCCGAACTGATTCGAAGCTTAACCTTCTCTGTCGTGTGGATCTACCGCAGAAGCCCTCACACGAATCTCGGGAAACTTCCTTCGTTCGCCTGCTGCTTCATGCGTCGAACCACCAAAGTCTGCTCGAAGCCCGAAGCAAACCGCCCAAACTTCTCCTCAAAATCCCCAAATCGTTCTTCTTACTTCCTGTGCCGATCTCCTCCACCCTAACCTGACATTCTGATACCAAGTGTTGTGAAGAAAACAATGCAAATCCAGAAGAAGAACACAAAGATTTAACGAGATTCGACAAAAATGCCTACATCATTGGGAGCGGAGCGGCGAATTCACTATTTCAGATGAGTTACTTACCCATAGGGTTACACATTTATTTATAGATAAAACCCACAGATAAAACAATCACTCGCTCCCCCCAACCCACTAATACAAGAGACACACATCTTCATTACAGGAGACACACCTCTCCAAATCTAAGAAACTCCAAATTCCTGGTATATGAGCCATACCTAACACTAAAATGTATTTAATTATAAACATTAGGGTTCACAAACCTGTATTTAATTATATGCTTTAGCCAAATCCTACAAGTGCCGAGAAGAAAAATATTTCTTTTCACTTCAAAATACATGCTGAAACGGGGAGGAATAAAAAAAAAAGAGGAATAATCTCCATTAGCGGTATTTCTTCAAGGGAATCAAATATCATTTTTTTGCCTTAACGTATTTTGTTGGAAATTGTTTGATCAAAATTTATGGGCTATATTGATATTTTAAAAATAAATTATTATTATTATTATTAAATATTAGATAATTTAATTTATGTGGTAAGTCATCCTCAATGGGGCAATAGTGTCTCTAAGATGCTCGATGATGGTCAATAGGGCAATGTTGACAGATAATGGTTATTGTCCTAAAATATACTCAAGCACAAATTAATAATCTAGGTGATTTTTTTGAACTACTGACCAAATGTGTTTATGAGTGCCATCATCAAAATATCGAGAATTAAAAAAAAAATGAGTGGAGGATTTACCATGGATATTGATATTTGAGAGAAAACTTGAAAAATGAAGGAAAGTGATGGTTGATTTGTAGCTAGTAAGTTTTGGGTGGTCCATATGTAATTGTCCCATTATCAATAATTTAATGTATTTTAAAATAGTTGTAATATACTAAATAAATATATTCAAAACATAAGATAAAAATAAAAATAAATGTTGTCCCAAATAAAACCTGAAGGCTTGTTTGATTTTTTTTTAATTACTTAAAAATATCCTTGTTCAGTGTATTTTTAAATAACTTCTCTTATTTTGAAAAAAAGAAATCAATTATTTTTTAAAATATTTGAATTTTTTAAAATATGTCCAATATTTTTAACATATTTTTCGTTTACATGACAATTATTTTTTATTTTAAATTAAATTAAAAAAAATAATTATAAAACATAAAAAAATCTCAAAATGATATTTATTTAACATTTTATTATAATTATGTGGTTATTCATCGCATAGTAATTAAGGATATATAAGTTCTCATCGTTTATAGCGTTTGGGCTCCCATTCTATATATATATATATATAGCCAAAAGAA